GTGCAGCACGACAAACACATGCACACACACAAAATACAAGAAACCCCATTACTTTCTAAATCCAAAAATAGGCGCATTTTTTGACAACTGCACTTGAATTCTGGGTCAAGTCCAAGATTAACGGAACTAAGTGTCGATACGGATTACATTACTGTTACAGACACAATAATATCCTCAGGACTCAGCACAGAATCTTGAGTGCCAAAAGTATTATTAAACAACAACATTTCAGTCACAAATGGTTTTCAAAAGGTTCCTCTCATTGAAACAGCATTTGAGGTTCATGGAAAGGGTTTCCCACCATTTCCCTCACATTCTGCTGCCAACATATGATGTCATATGTGAAACTAAAAGTCTCTGCCTGCGGTCTCTTCTATTTTTAAGACATTGTGCCCTCTTTCAGGGATAAACTACATCACTTATATCTGTGAATCAAGAGGGACAGACACAATAACAATCAGAGGCCTTCAACTACGCCATAAGAGCTCTCTGATCGACTGGTTTTGTGTGAAAGTACAAGAGGAGCCTGTTATTCAACACACCAATCATTTTCGCGAAGCTGGCAGAAATTCAAAAGACCCACCAGATCCAAGGGGCGCCAGTGTAAAGGCCAATAACTATCCGTGTGAATTTATGTGCTTGTTCACTAAAGAAACGACCGTGTTAACATCTATTTCCATCAGTGCCATTGAGATAATTGCCAAGGACCACCATAAGGTGGTCGGGCATTCTCGTTTCCCTTAGATGAATGGGAAGGCTTTTTACGTAACTTTACCAACTCATAAAAAGGCCTTCTTTTGTAAGGGTACATGGAGTTGACCAAATCTGCGAGCCTTTTTATCACCTACCACCGGCAAGATTGCCTTTTCTTTCTCTTTTTAACTAACACAATTCAGCTCAAAAGAAAGCTCAACAAAATGAAAACTTGATGTCAATACATGTAACATCCACAGGCATAGTCACACAATGACTGTCTCTTTGTGTTTTTCTAATCTGCATGTTTTCTGAAAGTGTTTACATAAGGGACATAGAGGGTAAGAAAATAATCTACTATCACAAAAAAACAAACAAAAAAAAAACACCTGCATCTCATTTTTCGCAAAAGCAGCTGGCAATTTTCACAACTTGTCTATATTGTTGTTTTACTACTAAAGAGTACTTGAAACAAAACACCACTTCAGGCTTAATGTCTAAAAAATGTCTCATATCAACACAAATTATACGTTTATTTACTATGTCATTTTCCATCAAGACAGTGTGGATATATTCAATGTTATTTCCCTCTCTAATTGCACAAATCAATGGATTTTACACACTGTGAAAATCTGGAAACATCTGGAAGAAAGCATTAACAGACCACAAGTCCTCATAAATTTAGAGTGAAGTCTTGGCTCATAACTAAAACTGCAACCCGAGTCCTATCTTTCTGCTCCGGCGGATTCAGATGAATGTGATTTATGAAAAGGATTCATATTAAAAAGCAATGTTCAGTGACACAATTGTTTCCAGTATAATTTTTAAATTGATGGGAGATTCTTCGTGACAATGGAAGCTATACTGTAGATCAATTTCAAAGTGTCTATATCAAACTTCATAGAATGATAAAGTGAAATTACATCTTTCATTTAGATGCTGTGACTTAAGTTAAACTCTAGTTATGCAGGTACAGTTTCATATATATGGTAAGTTGGTAACAGTGACATGAGAAAAGTCCAAGATCAGTGTCTGATAGTAAAACAAATCCCCGCATCACCACAATGTGAACATTGTGAACAAACGGCAGTCAATATAAATCACAGTACAATAGAAGATACCTTGTACAGTCAGATAAAATGACTGCATTCTTCCCCTTCGGTTGTTCATTTCTTTGAATTATCTTGCTTCTTGTGGAGCTAGTGAAGATAGTAGATAAGATATGTAATTGAGGCAAATGTCTGTTATTGTACAGCCCTTACAGAGCAGCCTCCACTGCATTCATGATAAGCATGAAGTCATAAACTGTTGCGAAATTAAAAATCCAGGATGCACAAGGTTAGTTCAAAAGGGTTAGATCTCATTTTCATCTAAGAAATGTAACCTTGCATCACAAGAGTGCTGTTACATCCGTAAATGCATTCATTGTGTTCCACTAATTCATATATGCACACCAGTTGCTCAACACAATGACTGCAAAATATATATTACATAGGACTACCTCTTCTAAATCTGGAGACTTTTGGGGGAAAAATGCCATAACACATTTGCATTAGATGCACTTTCTTAACTAAGGTGAATATATTGGGAAAAAATGGCACAATGAGTTTATGTAACGTTACATTAAAATATGACACATCAAGACTATATGAAATTAATAAGTAGCTATTTGTTATTACTTTCAGTAACTATTAGCCAATATGCAATCTCTAACATGTCAATCAATGTCACACTTACAAAACTCACCTTTTGAGTGGAAGTGTGCTTATATTTACCTGTAAATTGAGATATAGTGTACGTGAAAAACAAAACCTGGTGAAATTGAGCAGGGTTTAACGTCATTCTTAATCTTTGTCACCGGTCAGTAATAAACCCTGTTACTGACTGACCGCCACAATAACAGACATCCTCGCCTCGCGCATCTTTCACAAGGAGGCGGAAATACGTAATCAACCAGGAAGTGAGTGTCAGAGAGCGAAAGCATGGCGGCGCGCTGTGTTCTGCAGTCCGCAAGGACAGCGCTGAGGTCCGTTCAGAGCGATCTCTGCAGCAAGGGTTTGTTTCAGAGGACACAGCTCTCGTTTCTGGGGAGTGCGCCGTGTCGCGGACTTAGACATGGTGAGTTTACTGGAGTTTGATTTCAGGACATCTGCACAGCATCGTCTTCTTCATGTCAGAACTGTTATCGAACGTTTATATATTATATTATATATCTGAGTGCAATTTGAAAATCTGGGACGTAATAGAACATTTAATTCGGTTACACTTTATTCGAAGGTGTCCTTGTTACAGTGTAATTATACATTTAAGTACTGAGTAATAATTAAGTACAGGTACTTACTATAAGGGCTATGGTTAGGGTTTGGCTTAGGGTTATTTGCATGTAATAATGCATAATTTATTGTTATTATGATAATAAGTACATGTAACGTAACAAGGACACCTTAAAGTAAAGTGTTACCTTTAATTCTCTTACATTTCATTGAAAATGTTCAGACGTGTTATAACGTCTATATTTAACATTCTACACACATTTTAAAATGTTACTAATCAAAAATGAAATGTGTCATTAGTCAGATGGTTTTGCACAAACTTGTGGCGTTCATGCCAGCTTCAGTGCATGTTGTCATTAAAGTAATACACTGATGTACAAAATAATAATACTTTTTACAACAGTTTTAAATTGTATAATATTTATAATATTTTATATTTTGGTTTCATATTTTATTTTTTTCACTTCTGTGTCCCTGTGCATGTTTACATTAGAGAGTGTCTGAAATCATTGTGCATGTTGTGTGTTTTACAGTGGTGGAGAAGAAAGATGGCAAAATGACAGTTGTAAGTTACACCTTCTCTTTCACATGTACATTTTAGAAAGGAATTAGTCATGTAGTCAAACAATATTCTGTAAGGACAGTTCTTTCTTGAGCATCCAGTATAGACCAATAACTCACCTGTATCATCTGTCTCATAAGAGATGCAATTAACCAGCAATTGTGTTAGTCTCACTTCAGCTTGATACTATACAATACTATAATAAATAATGCTTTTTTTCCACATTTTTATCAGATAGAGGGAGTTACAGATCCTACATCTGAGCGACCACAGCCTCCCAACCCCACAGCTTCCTGTCCCATCTACAGATGGAACCTACAAAACAAGTACAACTACACCGTAAGTGCTCACACGTGATGACTCTGTGCACCATTATCTTTATCTCGTTATCTTTAAGACTTCTCTCTCTCACTCTCATTGTTGATTCAGGACGTGCTGTTACTCAGTCAGTTCATTCGTTCAGACGGCGGGATGCTCCCCCGGCGCATTACAGGCCTCTGTGCTCAGGAACATACCAAGATAGTAATTTGTATGCAGATGGCCCATCGTGCTGGTGAGTTGGAACTTTCTGATGTTTAGGTTGTATGAAGGTGCTCAGTGTTGCTCAGCTTCAATTAAATCAATGCAATACAACATCTAAAAATGTTTTAAACCACATTCTGTTGATTGTCTTTTTTAGAATGATTATGAATGCAGCATTTATTCAGCATTTTAAATCTCATATTAACTAACTATATGTTATAATTTAAAATAATAAAAAATATATATTAATTATTTATCAATTATATATATATATATATATATATATATATTATTAATGCAAAAGTATATGCATCAGCTACTCTTATCTGTTTTGATGCACTTATTAATAGCTAAGATAATTTAACCAGTTCCTCCTCATTTCTTTCCAGGTCTCCTACCAGATCATAAACCCCCCTTACCTGAAGGCCATGTACCAAAACCTAAATCCAACCCACCTCTCAACCGGTACAGTCACCTCAGAATGTTAATGTCACATGTTTGATGAGCCTTATTTTCATGTGCCATTTTTATTTATTTTTTTAGATTAGGTACCTCCCACTAATCAGACTGTCTCTTATGGTGTTACAGGTATTTGACGCGTTACTCTGTGAAGTCTGTGAAGCCCATCTACAAGACAGGGCTGAAGTGGTGTAAGAAGAGAATGAGTGTAGGACATCCTGCCCTGAAAAACAACGTCAGATACAGCCCCAAACCACTGTACATAAAGCACTGATGGACACAGCTGTTTACTCAATCTAAATAGTGACTTTCATGGGACAGAGCGGATCTATGACAAAGGATTTGCACCTTTGCGTGGTGCCTCTTGCACAAAGAGACTGGGAGAGAACCAGTGTGCACTGAAACATCAAGATGCAAATTCAGAGATCACTGTAATGTAACTCTAGAGCTGTATGTTCAGCCCTCTGATTTGGCTTTCCACCATGTGATTCGAAGAAATTATTAATTATATTATTGCAAAGGCAGATTTTCAAACAAAATGTTTACCTCACTTGCAGACGTTTCTATGTTTGCGCCAGAGAAAAACCAAGGTACACTTTTGTGACTGCCTTAAAGGTTGAAACACCAATGCAACTTCAACTTTCCAAACAAGCTGACATGTTAATGTTTTCCTGAAATTAAATAACAGAAAGCAAATTAAAGTGCAAGTAAATCACAGAGTTGATAACACATTAAGACTTCGAGTGAGATTAAAGCCTTTTGCTGTCTTCAAAATGTAGCAAAATGTTCCGTCTTCAAAAGTACTTTTGGCTGCTATAACATGAAGGGCAGGTCAAGGTTCATAAGTCCGTCTCCCATGTAGATGTGGCCATGCTGAGGGGTCTGGGGAACGTGGAAGAAGGTGAGACCCAGCCAGAGCAAACTGCGTAATACACACACAGTGCTGCCCCGCTCAAGCTGGAGGCACCATGACCCTGCATGAAGAACACACAGTATGCAAAAATGACAAGAAAAAGACTAGAATTATCCTACTGTGCAAGATCACAGAGGAAAGAGAAGGCAAAAAGCATTTTGTATAAACTGAACCTGAATTTTCAACCATTACACATAACCACTGACAGAATCCAGACTGTGATGGTGTGACAGATGCAAAGTAAAGTCTGGAGAAGAAAGTCGTGTGACAGAAAGTTGGCTCTGTTATGGATGACTATTATCGCAGTGGTGTATAAAGAAGAGGCGCTCTGGGGTCTGTCTGTCTGGGTGGCCCCTGTATCCAGCTGCTGGCATTGGCTTGCGCCCAGTACCGCAAAGCTCAATGCCAGTGAAGTCCGTTTGAATTGCAGCACTGAACATTTAACTGCTAGGAAAGGACGTGACGTGTGGCCAAGTATGGTGTCCCATACTTGGAATTTGTGCTCTGCATTTAACCCATCCAAGTGCACACACAGCGAGTAGTGAACAAACACACACACTCAGAGCAGTGGGCAGCCAATGCTGCGGCGCCCGGGGAGCAGTTGGGGGTTTGGTGCCTTGCTCAAAGGTCTCACCTCAGTCGTAGTATTGATGATGGAGAGAGCACTGGATATTCACTCCACCCACCTACAATCCCTGCCGGACCCGAGACTCGAACCCGTGACTCTCCCTAAAACACTCAAAAATGTTCATTGTGACTTTACAGCAGTTCTATAGAGCGCTCACTAATTAGAAAAGCTTTTGAGGATAATATGCTGTAATTAAATTTTCTCGTCTGAAAGATGTAATATTAAATAAGACTGGCAAATCAAATAAATTGCTTCCATCAACACTGAACGAAACCATTTCCCTCCATTTCTTCCAGTGATATTTGGCTTAAAAGTCATGCGTTTATACAATATTTTCTGCCTTTCCAAGTTCTTGGGAAATCTCCCTACTTTTTCCTTGTCCAGGCCACATTCAAGGAAACCTGAGTGAAGCCGAAGGGGGGGTGGCAGTTAATATGACCGGCCATTCCCAGTATTCTCTACCCACTATTTGAGGCGTCCAGATGAACCTGTTCACCTCTGGCAATTCTTGAGAGGGGATTGGGTTTTTTCCACCTGATTGGTCAAGGGGAAAAGGAAGAAACTGTTACGCAGGGTGGGTAAATGCCCTCTGTTTGAGACCTGCTCTACTTTTTCAGGCAAAACAAATCAACTTAGCCTAGTGTTGCCTGAGGTTAGAAGCCATCCCTTAGAGAGAGAAATAAGGACAGATCACCTCCTTTAATGAAACAGCTGAGATGTTTCTACCACACTTAAAAGTCTGGGCATGTGTCCAGTAAGTCGACTGTGCCTTCAGACTCTACTGAGAAACAACAAAGAGCCATTTGCCTTCTAAATCAGAGACTAATAACAATATTCCCAGTGAGGAAATGCTAGAATTTACAGTCTTTGATGAGTCATTGACTTCTCCATCTTTACACTTCAAGGTCGCATTCAACAGGAAGGTCACTCTTAATTTTGCAATAAACGCTCTTATGCAAGAGTCACAAACCACGTTTTCAGTAAATGTCGAGGCTCAAAGTGATGCTCTATTGCTTTGCTCTGTATGTTAAAACAAGTCAGATTCCATCTGGTTAAGATTCAGGATCAGCAGAACCAGATATTCCTTGAGGAATTCAATGTTAAACAATCAGTAGTGGTCTGTAGCCTGTAGGCAAGCGATGGGTAATGCTTCATGAAGCGTGCTTGATGAATACCTTTCAGCAAGCTTATGTCTGACTTGAATTGTGGGGAACGACAACAGACGAATAGCTTTCTGAATAACTGTTTTGTTCAGTTCACTCCCAACTGACAAACATGGCGAGAAGACACACCAAGATATACGAGTGGGAGATTTATCGTTTTTTGTAGAAAATGGCAATCCCAAACGCTTCTTTGAAAGAAAAGAGATCTTCCCAGAAAGAAAAGAGAACAATGGGATCATAGTTTGCAGAACAACACCCCAGATGTCTCCTTGGCTTTCGCTCTGCCTTAGGCAGCTGCCAAATCATATCTGTCATTAACCCAGGGAAATCCAGCTACAGGGATCATGGGATGCCTTGCAGAAGGGTTTTTACACCCTCCTCATATTTCCAACCACTATTAAGACTTCCTAAATGCAATTTGCATGTCAGCATCATTTTTTGGAATGTATGGTTGTTCACCTTTGAATTATAATGTCTATAGCAAAAGAGGGGTCCGACATCATTTCAAACATTTCATTACAAGACTAGAGGGTGGGAGCTGGAGACTCCCACAGTACCTTCAGAAACAGTAATGTGACTGGAAATAAAACCACATCAAGAATAAATCATCATGGAGAAAGATAATGAAAGATCATTCCTTTTAATTACCTTTGGGAACATCCTCGCTCAAAGGATCTAGAAAGTCAATAACAGGGTTCAGGTGAGACATTTCCAAGATGGACTTCTTTTTCAGGTTAACCGGTTCACGGAAGTGCAGATAGTTGTGCGGTTTCACAGCCTCAACGGGATCTAGACCTGCGATCAAGTTTAGGGTGACCATACGTCCTCTTTTTCCCGGACATGTCCTGGCCGGGATTTCTAAATTGCCTAAAATGTTCAGGTTTTTGCTTTGTTTTCCTATTGTTCTTCCTATTGTACATAACTGACCAATCATGGTGAGCAAGAAGGTGGGATCTTACAGAGAATGGTCAAAGCAATGCAATTGCTCATACTGTACATATAATGTATGAGGACTGTGGAGAGCAAGTCAATTGAGAAACAAAGAAAAAACCTGGACATTTTTGGCAATTAGGAAATAGAGGACTTATGGTCACCCTAATCATGTGTACAAAATTTAAACAGATCTAGGGTCTGACAATTCAAATAAATGACAACATAACGAGATGAACTGAAGACTGATTACAAGAAAGTGTTTTCAGAGAACTGAAATGGATTACATTTTACAAGGAAATGGAAACATACAGACTTTAGTTTTATACTCACACAGCTGCATCTGATTGCCGGTGGAAAACATATACAAACACTTGTGAACTGCTAGGAGTTTGGCTGTAAGCATACTGTACCTCCAAAGCTTCGGTTTGTCTGCACTTTGCCGCAGGGGCTCTTGGTAAATGCACCACGTGGCATTACAGACACATCTTTATCGATGTTTGAAACGGTCGTTGCCAATCTACTTGCCTCATTCACTTTCACCTGCAGAAACGGAGGCATGTTAACCACTCCATAAACATTCAACAAGCCTCCTGCCATCTACCATGTTTACTCCATTATAAACCATGAATAAACAGAAAACCGAATAAATAATAAGTTGTTTTACATCCAAACATTACCACGGCCACATAAACATAACATTCATTTTGTGTGTGTTTCCAATTTTTCTTGAAATGTTTAGACTCTTCGATTGCTAAAAATTAAAGATTGGTCAACAAAGCAAGATCTGTATTTTATAAAGACAAACATGCTATGATTCTTAAAGGGTTAGTTCACCCAAAATTTAAATTAGGCTGCGTTTAACTCACCCCCGAGGCATCCTAGGTGTATATGACTTTCTTCTTTCAGACGAATCTAGTCGAAGTTATATTAAAAATTGTCTTTGATCTTTCAAGCCCTATCATTGCAGTCAGCGGGTGTTGCATTGCTTCAGTCCAAAAGAAGTTAAATAAAAAACACCCATGCATTAAATAAAAGTGCCTCACACGGCTCCGGGGGATGAAGAAAGGCCTCCTATAGCGAATCGATGCGTTTTTGTAAGAAAAATATCCATATTCCAAACGTAATAATCACTTGAATCTAGCTTGCGCTCACTGTTGTAAATGGAAGCAGTTCCGGGGGAATGACGTATGAGGTCAGCGTTGCACATGCGCCGGTGAGTCTCATGAAAACCAATGTTTGTTTACAGGAGCAAAGGAAGCAAAGTTTCCTTACTTTAGCAAAGGAAAACCAGTCTCTTCTTGGCTTATATCGAAATCCTCTGACATTCTTCTTTACAAATCCTCGTTTTGTACTTTTAATTCTTGACCGTTGTTTTGTTTTGATCTCTCCACTGCGTTTCAAAGCTGAGCTGACCTCATACGTCATTCCCCCGGAACTGCTTCCATTTACAACAGTGAGCGCAAGCTAGATTCAAGTGATTATTACGTTTGGAATATGGATATTTTTCTTACAAAAACGCATCGATTCGCTACAGGAGGCCTTTGTTCACCCCCCGGAGCCGTGTGAGACACTTTTTTTACAGATGGGCGCTTTTTATTTAACTTCTTTTGGACTGAAGCAATACAACACCCGCTGACTGCAATGATAGGGCTTGAAAGATCAAATACCATTTTTAATATAATTCAGACTGGATTCGTCTGAAAGAAGAATGTCCTATACACCTAGGATGCCTCGGGGGTGAGTAAAATGCAGCCTAATTTTCATTTTTGGGTGAACTAACCCTTTAAGTGCAGATATACCAAATTAACCAAAGAAGATGGGCTTTTGTTCATTTTCTTCCATCTACTTTCCTATTTCCAGAATGCTGCATGCTCGTTATAGTCCCATCTGTGTCGTGTAACCCAAACGCCCCTCCTCTCACCGTGACCTCTTCCTCCGTGGCATCATCCCCCTCTCCCTTAATGCGCATCTCTGTGTGCTCGTACTCATGGGACGGGTCACCTGTGAATCGCCCCTGTGCTGCTAATGCCACATCTGCAATCATGGACTCAGTGGCTAGGGGGAGCAGGTGCCAATCCATGCAGTTTAAACTGTTTAATGATAAAACATTATGCAAATTAATTTGAGACAGAACATGTTGTATCACTCACTTACAAGATTAAACAGATATTGGTATTGAATATCACAGTTTTTCCAAATAATACTGACTAATAAAATAAATGTATAAAATACATTTATAGGCCTACTTTGTTTTTTAAAGAAATAATTAGAACTTTCACTTCAATGACCATCATATTAAGGTTACATTTCCAACAGAAATGAGTAATAAAACCAATAATGTGTCATATTTTGCTGATTCTAATTTAGCCATTGTACATGATCACAATGAGTAGACAAGCACTTATCTAAACAAGCAACATGATTTCCTACCTGTACAAAGACTTTCTGTTCTTCATTTCATCCTCTTCAACTCCTTGAGCAATAAAATAGTCACATTTTAGCCCCAAAATCTTTCCCCAAAACAAAACCCGGCTGAATTTATAGTTTCTCTTGAGAATGACCAGCGAGGTTTGAAGAGCGGCTGTCAGCTCACTGCTCAGAGTCAAACCATTACCGGCGGCTAAATCCAACGAGTAATGCAAAGACTCAAAGTCCATCGCAACGCTATTTATTAACACATTTTCATTCATAAAAGAGTACTTCAGTGATTTGCATTTACTTCGCTTATTAGAGAACTGACACTAGCAAGCTAATCAGCCTCACTCTCCAGTTACTCTGCGGTTGCTAAGGTAAACAAAATACCAAGCAGCCTGTTGTTATAGCAACTATCTCTCTCTCTCGCTCACTCTCTAACACACACACACACCTCACTAGAGCTGAATATTAGTTCATTGCTCACATAATACTCACACACTGTTCTAAATGCCCTATGCATGTTTATAGGGGAAGGACTTTTATTATGAATGTGTGCCGCTAGTTGACGTGAGTTTCCGCTATTCCGATTTACTTTCACTTTCACTAGCCGCTTGATCTGCCATTTCTTCAGGTGTTAATGTGCGTGATTGAATGTAAGTTTATTTACTTTTTCCCGATTATAAGTCGACGATGTTTGTTTCGTTGTTGTGTTTAAATATTCATCTTGTGTAATCGAACCTTACATTGTTTATAATGTTGTTATATTGTTATATTCAGCCACAGGAGCTGCTGAAACAGTTCTACTCCGCCATTATTGAATCTGTCCTCTGCACTTCAATAACTGTCTGGTTCAGCTCAGCTACCAAATCTGACCTCAGAAGACTACAGAGGGTAGTCCGGACTGCTGAGCGAATCATTGGTACAACCCTCCCTTCTCTCCAAGAACTGTACTTATCCAGAGTGAGCAAAAGGGCTGGCAGAATCACTCTGGACCCCTCACATCCAGCACACTCCCTCTTTGAACTGTTGCCATCTGGTCGACGCTACAGAGCTCTGAGCACCAGAACGACCAGACACAGGAACAGTTTCTTCCCTCAGGCCATCCATCTCAAGAACACTTGACAATAACTGTGGAACACACACTATTTATTCACTCATACACTTATTTATCTAACACACACACTCAGTCTACATTTCAATTTGCACATAATATACCTGTACATACAACTGTCTATTGTTATATACCTGTACATACAATTGTCGATTTGTATATTTTTATTCCTTAGTTACTTGTTCTATTTTTCTATTTTTTATTATCTGTGTTTTTGTTCTGTCACTGTCATTCTGTTACACTGTGGAGCTTCTGTCACGAAAACAAATTCCTCGTATGTGTAAACATACCTGGCAATAAAAACTCATTCTCATTCTC